CAGGCGTGCCCCATGAACAGCCACGTGCCCGGGCGCAGCGGGCGCTCCGTGCAGGAGATCTGGGAGGATTTCTCCCTCAGCTTCACCCCCGCCGTCCGCGAGGTCGTGGAGTTCGCCAAGCACATTCCCGGCTTCCAGGCGCTCTCCCAGCACGACCAGGTCACCCTGCTCAAGGCTGGCACCTTTGAGGTACGTCCTGGGATAATGGTGAGGGCTCGATGCTGCCCCACAGACTGACAGCGGTGCCCCATGGACTGGCACGGAGCCCCAAAGCATGGGAACAGTGGGCCAGAACACAGCAGGAGCCCCGTGGCATTGCAGTGCCCCGCATTTGAGAGCCACGGTGCCCGTGGCATTGCCTGGTGCCTCACAGCACTGCAGTGCCCCACATTTGGGATCTGTGGCACAGAGCACGGTGTCCCTGTCATGGCACAGTGCCCTGAGGACTGGCATGGAGCCCTGCAGCACTGCAGTGCTTCACAAGCAGGAGTTGTGGCATGCAGCACAGTGCTCCTGGCATTACACAGTGCCCCATGGCACTGCAGTGCCACTCTTTTGGGAGCTGTGGCATGGAGCACGATGCCCCCAGGCATGGCATGGTACCCCCCAACTGGGCACCACGGGCTAACACAAAGCCCCATGCCCCATTGTAATGACCCATATTTGGGAGTTGTGGCATGAAACACAGTGCCCATGGCATCACACAGTGCCCATGGCATGGTACCCCACATTTGGTGGTCCCAATATGGATCACAGAGCCCATGGCATGGCACAATGCCCCTGGCATTGCCTGCTGCCCCATGGCATGGCAGTGACCCACATTTGGGAGCTGTGGCATGAAACACAGTGCCCATGGCATGGCACCCCACATTTGGTGATGACAATATGGATGACAGAGCCCATGGCAGGGCACAGTGCCCCTGGCATTGCCTGCTGCCCCATGGCACAGCAGTGCCCCACATCTGGGAGCTGTAACATGGACACCGATGTCCCTGGCATGAAGCACGGTGCCCGTGGCTCTGCCTGGTGCCCTGTCCCACATCCTGCCCCCTGCCCACAGGTGCTGATGGTTCGTTTTGCGTCGCTGTTCGACGTGAAGGAGCAGACGGTGACGTTCATGAGCCGCACGCGGTACGGGCTGGAGGAGCTGTGGGCCATGGGCATGGGAGACCTGCTGGGGGCCATGTTCGACTTCAGCGAGAAGCTCAGTGCCCTCGAGCTCAGTGACGAGGAGCTGGGGCTCTTCACTGCCGTTGTGCTGGTCTCAGCAGGTGGGCACGGGAGGATTTGGGGACATTGAGGAGGTTGGGGCTGGGATCGGACGAGTTTGGAAAAGAATGGAGGGGTTTGGGGCTGGGATCAGAGCAGTTTGGAGAAGAATCGAGGGGTTTGGGGTTGGGATCAGAGGAGTTTGAAAAATAATCAAATCTGGGGCTGGGATCAGAGGAGTTTGGAAAAGAATTGAGGAGTTTGGGGCTGGGATCAGAGGAGTTTGGAAAAGAATTGAGCTTGGGGCTGGGATCAGAGGAGTTTGGACAAGAATCAAGGGGTTTGGGGTTGGGATCAGGGGGTTAGTTGGGTGTTCGGCGCATTCAGGGATGGGATTTGGGTGGCATTGAGATGATGGGGGGGGATATCAGGGGGTTCAGTGCTGAGATCA